TAGACCTATAACACTGATTCCAGTACTATCTAAAATTTTTGAAAAAGTCATGTATGATAAAATCTATTCATTTATCACATTTAATAAGATTCTTAAGGATGAACAATATGGATTTCGAAAAAACAGTAGTACAACTCTTGCATGCTTCAACCTTGTTAAAGATATTACACACAGCCTTGAATCTAGGATGAATACTCTTGCAATATATCTTGACATGAGCAAAGCATTCGACTTCGTATCACATAGGCTCCTCTTGAATAAATTAGAAAGATATGGTATAAGAGGTAATGCCTTGGACTGGTTGAAAAACTACCTTGAAAGTCGTGTACAGTGTGTAGAAATATCTAACATACAAGGTAAAGATAGGATATCTGTTACGTCCAAATATAGACAAAATCCATGCGGTGTACCACAAGGGAGTGTTCTGGGACCTCTACTCTTTCTGCTTTATATTAACGACTTGCCAAACATTACCGACCAAAAATGTATTTTATTCGCCGATGATATTACCCTAATTATAAGTGATAAAGATGGCATAATAGAAAATAAAGCAAATACAGAATTAAAGAAAATAGCACAGTGGTTGAAAAATAATAATCTTATAATAAATGTAAATAAAACAAAATTTATACATTTTAAAACAATTAATAGCAAAAATGATAAAATTAATATAAATGTGAATAACCAACCTATAGAAGAAGTAGATAACACAAAATTTTTAGGAATCACCTTAGACAAATTCTGTAACTGGAAAGCTCATATTGACTCTGTAACGGTTAAGCTTGATAGATTTATATATGCTCTTAATAGAATAAGAGAGATAGCATCGCAACAATCGGCACTCATAGCTTACCATGGTTATGTGTCATCTGTGTTGCGTTATGGTATAATACTGTGGGGAAATTCAGTAGATGCAATTAAAATCTTTAAAATTAAAAAAAAATGTATACGTTCACTTTGTGGTGCAGGTTATTTAGACTCGTGTAAGCCCTTATTCAAATTGCTTGGAATACTGCCAGTTCCATGTTTATATATTTTTGAAATGGCAGTGTTTGTAAAAAAGTATTTTCACTTATATCAGAAAAAAAAAGATGTTGAATATAGAGGTAGAAAAGGGGACGATTTATGTGTTCCAATCCAAACTCTAATGGTATTTTCTAAAAATGCATATTGTATGTCCATTCGTATATTTAATAAGTTACCTTCAAATATAAAAAAAATGACTTTAACCAAATTTAGGACTGAATTATTTTCATTTTTAATTAACAAAATGTATTATTCAGTTAACGATTTTTTAAATGATAAAATAGCCTAATTTAATGTATGTTTGACATTCGTGTGTATTTAATATAATAGTTTAAAATATGTAGATGATAAATATATGTAATTTTTTGACATTTTAATTCAATTAGATTGCAATTTTTCTTGACTATTTTAATAATGAATAGATTGGTAGTTGTAATTTTTGTGACATTAATTTTTCTTGACTATTTTAATAATGAATAGATTGGTAGTTGTAATTTTTGTGACATTGAATATTATTATTACCTTTAAATTAATTTTATTTATTTAGACGTAGTAGACTTTATTGATGTAAATTTCCTGAAATATTTGCACGTTGACATTCAACAAAATATGCTGGTAACTAAAGAAATATGTAACAACTATTGTAACCATATTTTGGCAAATAAATTATTATTATTATTATTATTATTATTATAACGACAGCAGATGCAAGCGGGACCAACGGCTTAACGTGCATTCCGCGGCACGGAGCAGCTCAAGCTAGTAAATTTTTGGTCACCCATCCAATGACCGACCACTGCGAAAGTTGCTTTACTCGCCATCAAGCTCCTCAAGCCTTGTGCTTCAAGGAGTGGGTAAATTTAATGGCTGAAGATCATCTTCAGACAAATAATATTCACCTGTATGATAGAAGCCCTGGACAAACACATCACTGGTGCGGTGTGCCCCACGAGCAAACATCTCGGTGTCATCTTCAACGTCTCCGGCTCCACCTGCCATATGCAGATCTGGCCGTCGTAGCAGCCCGTCACTAAAGTTTTCTGATCCCGGGACAGGTACACCGAGGAGATGCAGTGGGTGGGCGCGTGCTTGCCCCACAGCACCACCGGCACAATCAGATTAGTGCCAGGCATGACTGCGATGTGGGAATTACAAAAAAATTATAGGTTATAAAGTATATTAAATTCAAATGTTTTAAATTCAATATTGTTCAGTCGGTTTAGGCTGTTGCAAGCTCTAATGAATGTCAAAAAACTACACCTTCAGTCAGATAGCATTTTTATAAGGGGCCGTTCAAGTATTAAGTAAGCACTATAGGGGGGCAGGGGGGTCTTTGCGTTGCTTATTTTTGATGACATGGGGGGGTGGGGGGTCGAGATAGAGATTACGTCAGCATCATGGACTGAAGATTGTATACATATACCAATAATTCGAAAGAAGTTGGTTTTATTCATAATATAATGTCGACCTTACTCAATGTTGAATACTGTGTCAATAAAGTTTGTTTCAATGAATATTATGTGCGTTAAAGTCCTCTATCCTAAGCCTATTTAAGTATTACTGCTCATGAAGCTCATGAAAGCTCATGAATGATTAAAAAAAATCAGAATACATTAAAGGAAAAATGCATAGGTACCAATGTTTACATAAGCACGTGGTGGGGGGAGTAAGAGCTTTGCTTACTTTTGCTGACAAGGGGTAAATAATTGTAATATATCTGCTTCCTAATACTTGAACATATTATATTAGCCCCTAATGTAAAAGACAAAAACTTGGACAGTAATTTATAATGGACAGTGCCCTGAAAATAAAAGGTACTTGTTTGATTCCAACCAGATAATCTACCATATATCTATATTAACATTAAATAAAACCAGTTTCAAAGGTATAGATGCACTCAGAACCGTCTTTCCCATTGGGCACTTTGGGCAAGTGCCCAGGGCCCCACGATTGATACGGGGGCGCCCTCAGATCAAATACAAAGTCCCTAGTTCCTGTTAAATCACCAAACGGAAGTCGTAGGGGCCCCATTATCCTAATATGCCCAGGACGCCCAATAGGTTAAGACGGCACTGGATGCACTGCTTCTATTTTTTGATTGAAGAAATATTCTACTGCATAAGTTTCTTTGTCTATGGTTTAGGTCAAGAAGTTTGCCACTACCTATACAACAAATAAACAGAAATTTGTGATGCGTGCGCAGCTCTTCCCGGCTAGTATGAAAGTTGGAAGGTAACTCGGTGAAGGCTGAAACACTACGAACATCATGGGCGTCAATGCCACATAACAATATATACAGTGGATCCCCGGTAGTCCGACAAACATTTTGCAGGGCAGTGTCGAACTATCGAATTTGTCGGATTATAGAGTACTGCCTCAGACCCCCTATAGTCCGATTTTTTTTACAAAAGAGTACCTTGTAATCTGACAAATTACAGATCCAATGATTGAAGATTACAAATCATACTTTGTTATATATGTCAAATTTAGTAAATTAAACAACACAATAGAAAGATTACGTTTTATTATAAAAGTAACGTCATTAATATATTGTTTTAAACTTTCATGGTCACTAACATTATAGTAATATAAGTTAATTACGGGATTGTTACCATGTAGTATATAAAATAACTTATATAACTGTAACATCATTAATGCTATAGATTTTACAAAAAAAATATAAAAAACAATACCCTACGCATCGAGCACAATAGTGATGGTGTGTACAAGTTGTAACTTGTTCAATCGTGAATTAGCGAATACTTGTATGTAATAGAAGATGTCGGATTATAGGGGGTGCCGCATTAGCCAGGGGCCGGATTACCGGGGCTCCACTGTATATATGTCTGATGCGTAGGCTGCTGCATTCTCTTATGCACCGCCTAAAGTTAGGTTATTTAAGAAAAATAGTTTCACTTAGATGTATGGTCCGTGCATACTATTTTTTTATTCTATTTTCTTGGGGTATAATAATTAAGCAAATAAATATTTTTTCAAATGTATTCACATATACATACAAAGAAAATAATTAAAATTAAATTTGTAGGGGAGGTGGCAGTTTCTTAGTGCTTATTTTTTTTAACAGGGGTATGAGTTAGATGTCTATGTTTTCATGTTACCAAGCAGGAAGATGATACGAGTATAAGTAGTTACTTACGTACTTACCATTAGTTTTTATTTTCTATACACATTTTTAATTTATTCACAAAATACTAAGCAAAACTATTGATGACAATCTAAACTTGCAATCAAAATGTATCAAAACAACCTATGAGTGTGCTTAGATAAACAAACATTATCTCAGAGTTATTCTAAGATAGAAATATGTTTTTAGAGATACTGTAAAAAATTGATTTCATTATGCATAATTAAAGGATTACTAGGAAAGAATAAGGATCACTCACATCATTATAAAATCTTTAAAGGTTAGATAACTGGAGTAATTGATAAGGACATGAATTGTTTGAATAACAATACGATATACGAATAAATGGTCTCAGGGACGAACAAAATTTATATAATTACCTGGTCACTAGTCGAAATGGGTGGATATTAGAAATGATAATCGAAGAAACAGTTTATCACGCACCCATCAGGTGCACTTTAAACAGGATAAACACAAAATTTTCAATTAAAATTTATAAAATACGATTCGCAAAACAGAAATCGCCTTCGCATTGACAGCTGATCGCCAGCTGACAGTTATTACGTAAATGTTGGTAGCATTGATCGAGACTGTGTTACAAGAACAGATAATGGAAGTTTTTTTTTTATTGTGTTAATGGTGTCGATTCTGATACGATTCTCTAAAGCTAAAACAAAATGTAACAGCAGTCTCTCCTATTCATTTTGTATAGAGAATGACCAGGATACACTGTTGTCAAATTTGAATCAAGGTTTAGAGGGTCATGCCAGAATCCGTCCCATTAAGGAATGTAGTGATTACATTCTCTTTAACTCATGCTATAGACCATGAACTTTTTGCTTATTTATCTTCACTGTCACCCATTTTGTCATAATAAATGTCAGAACTAAACAAAGTTTTTGAATTCATGATTTTATTATTAATGGATTACTGAGAATGAGTTCAAAAAAAATCAATATAACAACCAAAAATAAGTCGAAGTCTAATCTGAACAAAGACGACAAAATGTTTGATCTGGCTGCTAAAATCGATGAAACCGACGAAATGAAGCTGAAGATGCTTGCAGCGCTTGAAAAACCGGATTCTGAGGATGTGTTATATCCCCCAGAGTTGAATGCTCATCTTATCGAACAACTGAAGGTGAAAATACATTATTATTCACAAAGATTTAAATCGTTCCAACTAAACGTAATCGCCTGGGTTTATCCGCTAACTGTACCCTGTACCCTAGTTTACGCCTATCCGTAACCTAGCTACGTACGTCTCTGCGTTTACGCCTCTCCCGTCCCGCAGCCTACGTTGCCGAATGTGATGTCCATATAAGGAGAGTAACCACTCCGTTTTAAGTGGTTTAGGAAGTGCCAACTCTTAAATCAGTCACTTAAAAAGTAACCACTTTTTATATGACTGGTCGAACTGGCCGTCAAAGAGCAGTAAGCGCGGCGTCGCTCGCCTAGCCGTAGCTGATCCGAATGTACTAAAGCTGCTTATCCGCTTACGTTACAAGCTTACGTTAGGTGGACGCCGGTTTGATGGTAATCCAAAAGGCGATTCAGTGTCGATCCCTTTCCGTTGACATGACGTGTTCTATGACGTTAAGGTCGCACTCAAAGACTTCAACTTTTAGTATGGTTGAAGAATAAAGTCCTGGGTCTGCAACTGTCACTTTATTTGCGGTAACTGAACTGAATAGATGAAGGGAAGACGTAACTAAGGTTATAATAATTAATGTTTGAGTTATTTAGTTTATACTTATGTTTAAAATATGTATGATATAGACATATTTTCATTATCCCTAAGCAAAATCAGAAATCAAAGCTCGTTAACTTTGGTCACGATCTCAACACTAAACCCTGTTTTAATACTATTAAGTCCAAAAGTTCTAAACACACATAAGGCACGTGTTGGTCGGGTATGTGTTAGGACGGGAATATGGCTGGTCTTTTCCCTTTTCCTTATATGACTAATTATGAACAACACACAAATAGCGGACGCGGATCGAGGTTGGAGCTAGTCGTGTGCAGAAGCCGCGCGCCACTACAGAAAGAGCGCGGGTGAGCTGATCGGGAGCGAGTGTAGCGTCGTTACAATCGTTATTTAACATAATCTGCAGTAGTAGCCGTATTTTGAACAATTCTTTGAAAAGCTCCATGAAGCATTTGTTGGAGTGTTTGGTCTACGCTTGAGTAACTAAAAAATATCCGCAATAGCGGGTTTTAGGATGGGTCACCAAAAAATATTGACTCGAGCTCCTATATGCTTCAGAAGTCCCGCTAAGCCGTTGGTCCCGGCTGCATATTTAGTTGTTAACATCCATAATTAGCACTGGGCCCGTACTCGTTACAATCCCCGTCCACAAAGAGAAGGCCTAAAGAATATTTTAAGACAAAACTATTCTACTCGGTTCACGCTTCAGACGGGATTATTTTGAGTTCAGGGCTTTAATGTTTTTGTCTGTTTTAGACAATGACTTGCGAAAACAATCAGCTACGCAAAACCATTTTCACAAAGGACCAAGAGATAAAAGAACTCAATGGAACAGTATCGGAACTTAATCAACGAATCAGAGATATAATATCTGGCACGGGTCCGGCTATATCTTCGAAGTCCGCTGGTATTATAAGTGCGAAAATAACAGAACTATGCAAACAGAATCGACATTTAGTTGCTGAGATAGAAAGTTATAAAACAAAAAATGCCGCACTAGAAAGAAAAATAATGCAACTAGATTTAATTAATAAAGAACATGAACAACTAGATCTCTGTTTGTGTAAAAATGATCCACCTGATAATAATTTCGATGAATTGAAAGAGTTGAATAGCAAACTAAATGCAGTAAATAAAAAACTTTATGAGAGCAAAAATAGAAATTTGGAGTTGAAAAATGATATTCTTATTGCCACAAAGATTTTGCAACAAGAACTAGGTGACAAATTCACGAGTATTAAAGAGTTGCAAAATGATTTGGCTGGATGGAAAGGAAGGGCTCAACAAATAATTCTTTTGCAAGGAAGAATAAGTGAGCTTGAAGGGAAATTAAATGGAAAGCATAAAGATATATTAGAAGCAAAGAAAAAAGACCAGACCCAGGTTAGAAAATACTCTAAATAGCTATTTTTAATGAACTTTTAATTGATATTTATTAATTAATTTATATCAATGAGTAAAGAGATATTATATTACAGATTATTCGAGATATAGAAATGAAACGCAAGAAAGAAATGGAACAGGCAATGAAAGAACTGGAAAACTTAAAAGAAACTAACCAAGAATTAAAGAAAAAATTAGATGGTGCTAAATGTAGGATCAGAAATTTAGAATGCGACGCAACGACGATCAGGCAAAAGATGCAAACATTTGTAGAAAAAAGTAATCACGATGACTTGCTCATTAACGAACAACGGGTAAGTAATTTATTTATTTTTCCATATTTATTTTTTAATACTTAATATAATCTAGTAAGATTTTTAATAATATTTGCAGAACCAAATAAAAAGTCTTGAACTATACTATCAAGAAATTCTCAAAGAAAATACAGCCAAAATGAACAAAATGAATGGTGAAATAGCAGAATATCAAAAACTGATAAAAAATACTGATGCCAAAATTGACGCTCTTCGAAAACAGTCAACTGAAAAAGCATCCAAAATCGACGAGTTAAGGGCTCAGTTACTTAGGTACGAAGAATGCTCGCTGCAAAGCGTATTCTTCACACCTATGAAGACGGCAACCGATAATGAAATCAAAAAGCTTTCGGAACTAGTGGTAACTCTGAACGAAAGGTTGGACGCTGAGCGACACAAATGGGAGGAGCTGGAAATCACTCATCGAAAACTTCGAGAAAAAAAGAAGCGGCTCGAAAGAAAAATCGTAGCCCTCGAAGAGGAAATAAAAACTTTAAGAGATTTCAAAAGAGGTTCCAGAGTTTCGAAAACGTCTGTTAGAGATACTCAATATGATTTTGGAATGGGAACTACATCGATATCTAAAAAACAGTCTTCTATAGCTGCGGTTGCTGAAAAACCTAGTGAATCTTCTTCCGAATCACAGCCTCTGGATTACGATGCTCTTGACAAGGAAGATTTAAAGTACAAGCTTGAATTATGCGAAGAAAAGCTAAAAATAATGGAAGATAAACTAAAAATGATTGAAGAAGAAAAACAAGAAGATTACAATCACTTAACTGACATGATTCAAACTTCCAAGCAGCTATTCAACGAAGCTCTCGCTGTGTTACAAAGGGAAAAATGTTTATGTTCATAAATGATGTTACTACGGCTCATAGGTTTTTCTAAATTAATAAAATGTATTTAGTTAACATAATGTTTTATTTTGTTGCAACGTTGCATTTTGTAAGTGTATTGGTCGCGCTGTTTTTTATTTAATTATTTTGTAATGGGTCCCTAGACGATCAAAAATGCTTGACAAGCGCGCTTGGATAAGAATTGACGCAACGTCGTGCATGCTTGTCAAGCAACCGCACTCATTTTCATAGTCTCCACATAGTGAACCATTGTTAAGCTTGCGTTCAGAAACATTGTGCATACAAAAACAAAGAATGTTTCTTATTGCAGATATGGCGTTCCTTGCTCGTACAATTAATGGTTTGTTGAATACAGAGAACGATTTCATCACCATTATCATCACCAGCCTATTGATGTCCAGCTAGGGCACAGTTCTTAACTATGGACGGAATAGGGAGATTGGGAAGTGATCCACCACGCTAGCCCAGTGCGGATTGCTGGTTACTAAAGACTGCAGATGCAGCCGTAACCTCATGCTTAACGTGCCTTCCAAAGCACGATGGAGCACGAGATAATAAGTCGTATGTCACCCATCGAATGACCGATCATTGCGAAAGTTGCTTAACTTCCAGTATCGCAGACCAAACCCGCTATCGAGCTCATTACCGACAAGAGGTCGATTTACTAATAGGCATTTGCAAAATATTCATCATGTGATGCAGCCCAATGATTTCAAAATTTGTTGAGGATGGATAATTTTAGTAAACTAATTAGTGTTTGTATGGATAGTCTTTTTTTTTCTGTCACGTGCATTCGCCATGACGGTCCGTAGCACAATTTAATGTGTTGCTGACAAGCGAACCTATAGACTAGACTGACTTGACGATCAAGCATTATCAATCACGTAGTTTGCTTGTCAAGCGCATCAAAGATAGCTTCGTTAAAACCGATCAAAATTGCTTGAGGTGCATTCAAAATTCACGTGCTTGTCAAGCATTTTTAATCGTCTAGAGAGTCCTTAACTATTTAAGTTTATTTTTTATCCACGAAATGTTTTAGTAAAATTGTTAAATAGAGAACATCAAGCAAATTCCTGTAAAGGATTAAGAAAGATCTCAAATAAGTGCTACTGTTATCTCACAAGAGGTAAAGTTCTAAAAAAGTTTCATAAAAGTAAATTTTCTACCACTTTGTTTTGCAATTGCTATGGTAGAAATTTCATCGTTGCTGTTGGCAGCATTAAAAGCCGCCATTTGTCATTTTTTGGCATGCGCGTAAGGGGATTCAACGAAAATCGTGCTCGTGAGTGTTTTTCCAGTAATAAAAGTAAACTTGAAACTTTGTGAATCGTGCAAAACTTGTGTTGCTCTGTGAAATATCAGTGTTGTTCTTTTAATTGTGCCTGTGAACTGGGAAACGGTCAAGATGAATAAAACTTGTGCAAGGTGTGAGAAAACAGTTTATCCTACTGAGGAATTAAAATGTTTAGACAAGGTGAGTTTCTTTCGCATTCCTTCGCCTTAGACGCTGTGTTTGCGAATACTTTATTTAATCGAGAATTTCACTCGATCTAGCGCTCTACTGAGTAACTTATGAAGCCTTTATATTCAACGAAATAGGTGCTCTAAATTCTTTAGTTCGCAAGGGTATTGTGTGGCCGGCAACTTCAATTCGTACAGTCGAATGAATGACTCATTAAACTATATAAATTGCCGCTGATATCATAGCGAGATGTAAAGCTGCTCTGTACCTGTTCCCTCGACTTTTTACCTAATTAGAGTCATCTTAGGCAATGTACTTAAGAAGACCTTGTAGGTATCTCATACTTCAAGAATCGATTGTATTCTAATGACGGTTCCCAGTGGTAGTATATACAATTATTTCTATGGTTGTTCCGTTTTTCATCAGTAATTTATTGAGCGTTATACTTGTTATATATGTATTGATGTTTACCATGGTATCAGACTTTTCGGTGATAAGAAATGAGATAACATCAGTAGGTTTGAAATGCTACCTTAGTGACTATGTAAAAAGATACACTTTCCCGTGTTAAAGCGATGTTCTTGCTAAATGTGAATTTAGAAATATTGCAAACATTGTCTCTGTTAATTTATCTGTAATTACATTTGATAAAGGTGTAAGAATTGCCTTCTATGCCATGGTTTGAAGTGAGAATTAAAGTTTGAAGTAGGAAAACATTATCATTAATAATTATTTGGTTAAATTATCTTGTTATGAATTAGAGGAAGTTAGAAACTGCTCCAAAGTTATAACAATAATTCAATTTGCTATGGACACTAATGAAATGGAATGAAATCATGGCTGAACTGGACTCCCTGGGTCCAAGAGGTTATACTTCACATTAGGTTTGGTTTGTGTTGTAACCATAACACGTTCGAGCCGAGCAAGCAAAGCAAGCATGACATGCAAGGGCCCGGCAAAGCAGCAGAAAAACAAAATCATTGATAGAGTCTTTTGCATTAAAAAAATGACTAGTAATAGTCTGTCTTCTTGGGCCCAGGAAGTACAGTTTAACCAAAATCCATGTCATATAGGAGAATGTGCAGGGATAAAGGGTAGCAGGCATACTGTTAATTAAATTTTATTCATTTTGTGATTGAAAATTACTTGAATGAAAAAATAAACCATCCAAGTGCGAGTCGGACTTGCATCCACGAGTTCCTGAGAAAAACGGTCTTGACAGATGGTCGGACAACAAAGTGATCTTATATAAGGGTTCCATAAGAGGTACGGAACCCAAAAAAATCCTCAAATTATAAATTTGCTTGTGTATGTATATGACTCAATCACGCAAAGTCTACTGAATGGATTTGGATGAAATTTAGTCAGATACAGTTTACCTGGATTGAGACATAGTATACTTTTTTTTTTTAATTCAAGACTAAAATCCACAGCATTTTCATAATGTAATACAGGTTTTACAATAAAGTTTATCTTAATGCCAATTATGGATTTTAATTTTTATAGTTATTACATAAAAGTTTAGAAAACCCTCTACCAAACAAGGGTGCGATGTGTGGAATGCGCGCGCACCATTTTACATGCGTGTGTGTGTGTGTGTGTTGTTTTTCATTTTTGTTTGTAGGTATATTACCAATCAAGCAACAGCCCTAAAAGTTATTTTTCAAAACATGCTTTACTTTTGCAATCAAATATGTCAACAGCCGTGAAAGTTTTGTTGTAATTTGCGATTGAAAAACAACTTTTTGCAGGATGCATAAAACTCAGTTTATGCATCCTGCAAAAATGACAGGATTCTGTGGGTTTTATGTGAATGAAGTTGCTGGTGGCCGCTAGTATATTTTATTTTAGTAATTTATGTCGTACCTAGGAGGATAATTTACAGATTATGATGAGAAAAAGTTATTTTTAAAGTAGCTTCTTGCAACTGTACGAAATAATTTTTCTTATTTATCACTAAAATGTCTCAATTAATAAGGAAACACAATATATTTGTTTGAATTGTGCGACATCCACACTGTTTTGGCTCTGACCTGAAAACTTTGTGAGTCACAGTTTGCATTAACCTTAATGTAGGCATTTAATTACTCACTCTTTATGACTGCATGCCTTTAATAAATTAGTGATGTTGTTACAAATATTGCTAGTGTCGACGAACAGGTTTCAACAGAAAGAATGTGACATAATTTCATAATTGTGATTATATAATAAGCAGTTCTAACAATTATTCAGTCCCAAATTGAGGAAAGCTTCTACTATTTAAACTAAATTACGTATACAATACTTAAATGTATGTACTACCTATTTGAATTTGTATAAACAACCATGACTTGAAAACAAATATTTGTGCTTATCCCAGAAATAATTGCTAGGGGATTTTATTGTTGAAAGGGTGGCAAAGCCTGGCACCTTACTCATCGACAGAAGCGATACCACCAAAAGGTAGTGTTATTTTACTGTGGTCTTCTTTAAGGTGAGGTATATTAGCCTAGCGTAACAATTTCATAAGTCCATATCCTAAGGTATATAGTATTTTGTTGCTAATTTGTTGCTATTTTGTGCCGCAAGAATTGATTTTGTTGCTCCATGATTTCTCGGAAAAACGCCAGTTACGCTAGCGTAATATTACGCTAGCGAAACCACAGCGATAACTCGGAGGCAAAAGCAGTTAGAGAGATCAGATGAACGGCATATTTTGTTGCTATTTTGTTGCTGTAAGATAAGCTGGTTAGATCTGAAAAAATTCCCCCCCCCCCCCCTCATGGGGGGCTAACTACCCTAATTCATAGATATTCCAGATTTTTCGTATCTCGTGAACTAAAGCAGCTAGCGGCACGAGACAAACGCCGTATTTTGTTGCTTTAAGGTAGGCATGCTGCGTACATCATAATCACAACCCTTATCGGGGTATGACCAACCCCCGACCCCGAAGACACCAGATATTTCGTATCTCGTGAGCTAAAGCAGCTAGCGACCCGACACCAACGGCGTATTTTGTTGCTTTAAGATAGGCATGCTGCGTACATCATAATCACAACCCTCATCGGGGTATGACCAACCCCCGACCCCAAGACACTAGATATTTCGTATCTCGTGAGCTAAAGCAGCTAGCGACCCGACACCAACGGCGTATTTTGTTGCTTTAAGATAGGCATGCTGCGTACATCATAATCACAACCCTCATCGGGGTATGACCAACCCCCGACCCCAAGACACTAGATATTTCGTATCTCGTGAGCTAAAGCAGCTAGCGACCCGACACCAACGGCGTATTTTGTTGCTATTTTGTAGCTATAAGATAGGCATGCTGCGTACACCATAATCACAACCCTTATCGGGGTATGACCAACCCCCGACCCCAAGACACTAGATATTTCGTATCTCGTGAGCTAAAGCAGCTAGCGACCCGAGACCAACGGCGTATTTTGTTGCTATTTTGTAGCTATAAGATAGGCATGCTGCGTACATCATAATCACAACCCTTATCGGGGTATGACCAACCCCCGACCCCAAGACACCAGATATTTCGTATCTCTTGAGCTAAAGCAGCTAGCGACCCGAGACCAACGGCGTATTTTGTTGCTATTTTGTAGCTATAAGATAGGCATGCTGCGTACATCATAATCACAACCCTTATCGGGGTATGACCAACCCCCGACCCCGAAGACACCAGATATTTCGTATATCGGCAGGTAAAGCAGCTAGCGACCCGAGACCAACGGCGTATTTTGTTGCTTTAAGATAGGCATGCTGCGTACATCATAATCACAACTCTTATCGGGGTATGACCAACCCCCGACCCCAAGACACTAGATATTTCGTATCTCGTGAGCTAAAGCAGCTAGCGACCCGACACCAACGGCGTATTTTGTTGCTTTAAGATAGGCATGCTGCGTACATCATAATCACAACCCTCATCGGGGTATGACCAACCCCCGACCCCAAGACACTAGATATTTCGTATCTCGTAAGCTAAAGCAGCTAGCGACCCGACACCAACGGCGTATTTTGTTGCTATTTTGTAGCTATAAGATAGGCATGCTGCGTACATCATAATCACAACCCTTATCGGGGTATGACCAACCCCCGACCCCAAGACACTAGATATTTCGTATCTCGTGAGCTAAAGCAGCTAGCGACCCGAGACCAACGGCGTATTTTGTTGCTATTTTGTAGCTATAAGATAGGCATGCTGCGTACATCATAATCACAACCCTTATCGGGGTATGACCAACCCCCGACCCCAAGACACCAGATATTTCGTATCTCTTGAGCTAAAGCAGCTAGCGACCCGAGACCAACGGCGTATTTTGTTGCTATTTTGTAGCTATAAGATAGGCATGCTGCGTACATCATAATCACAACCCTTATCGGGGTATGACCAACCCCCGACCCCGAAGACACCAGATATTTCGTATATCGTCAGGTAAAGCAGATAGCGACCCGAGACCAACGGCGTATTTTGTTGCTTTAAGATAGGCATGCTGCGTACATCATAATCACAACCCTTATCGGGGTATGACCAACCCCCGACCCCGAAGACACCAGATATTTCGTATCTCGTGAGCTAAAGCAGCTAGCGACCCGAGACCAACGGCGTATTTTGTTGCTATGAGATAGGCATGCTGCGTACATCATAATCACAACCCTTATCGGGGTATGACCAACCCCCGACCCCAAGACACCAGATATTTCGTATCTCTTGAGCTAAAGCAGCTAGCGACCCGACACCAAATACCAATTACCCCGATAAGGGTTGTGATTATGATGTACGCAGCATGCCTATCTTATAGCAACAAAATACGCCGTTGGTGTCAGGTCGCTAGTTACTTTAGCTCACGAAATACCAAATATCTGGTGTCTTCGGGGTTGAGGGTTGGTCATACCCCGATAAGGGTTGTGATTATGATGTACGCAGCATGCCTATCTTATAGCTACAAAATAGCAACAAAATACGCCGTTGGTCTCGGGTCGCTAGCTGCTTTAGCTCACGAGATACGTAATATCTGGTG